CTGTTAAACAGTCCTAAAATGTCCGATGTAAACATCATCAGGATCTTCTGTTAAACAGTCCTAAAATGTCCGATGTAAACATCATCAGGATCTTATTGTTAAACAGTCCTAAAATGTCCGATGTAAACATCATCAGGATCTTATTGTTAAACAGTCCTAAAATGTCTGATGTAAACATCATCAGGATCTTATTGTTAAACAGTCCTAAAATGTCCGATGTAAACATCATCAGAATCTTACTGTTTAACAGTGTTACAATGTCCTATTGTAGGACAAGATCAGGATCTTACTGTCAAACTGTCCTACAACAACCTACATTGTCCTATGTAAAACAACATCAGGATCTTACTGTTTAACAGTGTTACAATGTCCTATTGTAGGAAAAGATCAGGATCTTATTGTCAAACTGTCCTACAATGTCCTATGTAGGACAATATTAGGATATCACTGTAAAACAGTGCTATACTGTCCTAAGTAGGACAAGATCAGGATCTTACTGTTAAACAGTCTTACAACAGTCCAACAATGTCCTATGTAGGACAAGTGCAGGGTCTTACTATTAAACAGTCCTACATTGTCCTACATAAAAAACAACATCAGGATATTACTGCTTAACAGTGCTACACTGTCCTAAGTAGGTAAAGATCAGGATCTTACTATTAAACAGTGCTACAAGGCATATGTATGACAATATCAGGACCTTACTGTTTAACAGTGCTACACTGTCCTAAGTAGGACAAGGTCAGGCAGGATCTTACTGTTAAACAGTCTTACAATGTCCTATTTAGGACAAGATCAGGATATCACTGTTAAATAGTTCTTCACTGTTCTATGTAGGAAAAAATCAGGATCTTACTGTTAAAACAGTCCTACATATGGTTCATACTGTTCAATGAATATATACTACAATGAGTCCCCTTTAATTTGGCCAATGATGCTCCAGACCAAATGGTCAAAATCACTGAGCTGTTAGAATGAATAGGATTTATAACTGATTATTCAAAAATAGTGTTTTTAACATCCCTGAAACATTGAATATAAGTCCTATACATTGTTTGCAAACTTAATGTCATTTAATTTATCAAAAGAAGTTGTTGAAGTATTTGAATATTAGTCAAGGTCATTTATCTTTGCAGATTTTGTAATAAACTATACAAGCAAAGTTACTGACCTAACATCATGATAATTCCAGGTCTTTCTATTCTTCAAAAGTATTTAAAAGTGTTTAAACATATTTGACCCTTGCGACCTTAAATATGAGTCAAAGTCATTACTTTTGCAAACTACATGTAGTACTCTATGAAAGCATGTTACTGCCCAGTTATCATGATTCTGTGTCTTTCTATTCTTTAAAATAAGTTTTTCAAGTGTTTTAATAAATTTGACTTATATGACCTTGAATATAAGGTTATTTCTGAACGTGAAGTTTGAAGCACTCCATGCAAGCAAGTAACTGGTCAAGTATCACGACTCTAGGCCTAAGTCAGAGAGTACATGTAGCTATTGTTTCTTGACTAGGAATCACCAAAAGTTGTACTTTTATGTGGGAAATTCACGAGAATGTGTCCAACATCATGAGGAATTTTTGTGAAGTACTTTTTTAGTCATATGCTCAGATAATTAGATATGACATGTATGTCTTCATTCCATCATGCCAATGGCTAAATGACATGACATTAAGCAGCTTGGTTATTTAGAAGAAGTTGTTAGATGTTTAAAGTGGGTTAAGGTTGTTAATTTGAACAAATTTGGTAGCCCTTCATTTCAGCATTCTACTGGCCAAATATTCTTACCCTGAGCCTTTTTGTTATTCAGAAGAAGATTTTAAAGCAAACCGTTTAAGCAAGCTGGATAGACAATGTATGCCACACCACGTCATAAGATCACTTGACCGTTTGGACCAGGAATAATAAAACTTGCTTAAGACTTGAGAAGCATTGTGCCACATTAACTTTCATCTACAGATGGACGGACAGACCGACACCCTGATTTGTGTATACCCACCTTACTTCAATGTAGGGGATATAAAAAGAATAACAAGAAACCCAGAGGGCCTGTATCGCTCATCTGAATATTTAAGCAGTCATAGAAAAATATTCTCATTAAATATTATATTGCACTACAAATATTTCCCTTGCAAACTTTGTGGGCTCCATCTGTTGAAACTACCAGCCAAATATTATTATAAGATTCTATGCTTTTTGGTTCTTCTTCAGAAGTTGTTTGACATATTTTTCCCTGTTACCTCGTAAGTAGGTCAATGTCATTTTCCTTCTCAAACTTTGTTAGCTCTATCCCAAAAAGCTACCAGCCAAATCTTATCCATTTCTTTTGGTTCATCAGAACAAATCCTTTGAAATGTTGTTGACCTCTGTGACCTTTAAAGTAGGTTGAGGTCATTTTCATTTGCAAAATTTGTTGAGTTCTATCCCAAGAAGCCACCAGCCAAATATTATGATTTTTGTGAGAAGGCGTTTGATGTTTTTGACATATTTGACCCCTGTGACCTTGAAAGTAGGTCACAGTCATTTTCATTCTCAAACTTTGTCGGGCTCTATCCCAGGAAGCCACCAGCCAAATATAAAGACTGTATACCTTTCAGTTCTTCAGTAGAAGTGATTTGAAGTGTTTGACATATTTGACCCCTGTGACCTTGAAAGTAGGTCAAGGTCATTTTCATGCTCAAACTTTGTCGGGCTCCTACCAACGAAGCTTTCAGTTAAATATCATGGCTCTATGCCTGTTTGTTCTTCAGAAGAAGTTGTTCTAAGGAAAAGTTGACGGACGACGACAAACGACGGACGCCACACCAATGACATAAGCTCACTTGCCCTTTGGGCAGGTGAGCTAAAAACAAAGAAACAGAAGAGTTAGAGTAAGTTATCCTGATTTTGCTTGGGATAACTAAATAAAAAGCCTTATATCTCTTCATTGTGTGTTGGGTTATCTTTTCATCTGTTTAATTTAGCCATAACTCTGACACTAGTTGAATGGAAAAGGTATGCTTTGACTTTTACCTTCAGTGGCTCCCTCCAGTTCTGTGGTCTCCAAGACACTGACCACTGGCAGCATCTTACACAGCTGGTCAAGAACAGGTAGTACAGACATGAGGTCATGCAGGAGAGGTTGGACACGCTCTATTGGCAGCAAGAGCAGAGAGTGTAGCATGTGGTACAGCATGGCTCCTGCAGGTGACTGGTACAGAATTTCTGCAATAAGTTAAAGAAATTGAATTAACAGGAGGCCCAGAGGGCCTGTATCGCTCACCTGCATATTTAAGCAATCATGGGAAAATCTTCTCAACAAGGCAAAGTATTGCAAGGCAATCCATATTCCCCCACAGGTTATTATTTTGTTGCCAACATAAGACATTTGCAATATGGTTTTATTAAGTATCAGGAGCACATAGATTCTGATAGCTTAGTTTGGGAGGTTTAATGCTAGCAATAAAAGTAACGATGGAGTAGTATCCATCTTTTAAGTACCTCCAAAATGTACCTCCATACGAAATCAATGATATTTCAACCAAATCTTGTCACAGCCGGTGAAATAGATATGCCCCAGACAAACTTTTTCAAAAGGTAAAGTCAAAGGTCAAGTCATAGATCACAGTGGCCTACTTCTTGCACTCTGTCATCCCAAGATGTCCTTGTACACCAAATATGGTTATTCCAGCTGAAATAGTACAGAAGATATGCCCAAAGTTAAGGTCGAAGGTCAAGTCAGAGGTCACAGTAACCTGATTCTTGCACTCTGCCATCCCAAAATATCATTGTACACCCAAATCTGGTTACTCCAGGTTTTATAGTATATATGATATGCACCCTGGACAAACTTCTTTAAAAGTTAAGGTCAAAGGTCAAAGCCTAGGTGACAGTTTTCTAAAGTGAAGGTCATTGGTCAAATCATCAGTCACAGTTACCTAATTCTTTCACTCTGCACTATGTACTCTATCATCCCACGATGTCCTTGTACACCAAATCTGGTTACTCCAGGTGAAATAGTACAGAAGATATGTCCAAAGTTAAGGTCAAAGGTGAAGTCATAGGTCACAGTGAATGTTCGAGACTATATGCTTGAAATCACTTAGTCTGTACTGAGGATGGAATCTAAAGATTGTTTTTTGGCTACCTCTATTGAGTGCCGTCCGTCTGCACATTGGGAAGTTAGACCCTTAATTTATACAATGTTGAGTCCTGTCTGTCCAAGGATATTTCATGTTAAGTTTGGTCAAGTAGGTCAAGGTCATTTCTTTGAAGTCACTCTTCATTATTAGGAAGAAGTTGTTTAAAGATTTCTACACATTTGGTCCCTCTGACATTAAATTAAAGTAGGTCAAGGTCATTTACTGGAGAAAACTTTATACTATTCTATCCCAGCATGCTACTGGTCAAATATCATCACACAGGGCCTCCTGATAAGAAAACAAACAAAGACTTAGCCTTTACTATGTTTTTCAAAGGTTTATTTACAATTGACTAGATGGGACCTTGAAAGTGTGTCAGGTTCATTCACTTGAATAAACTCTTCATCTGAGTATGCTACTGGACACATATCACCACCCTATGCATTTTGTTTATTCAGAAGAAGTTGTTTAATTGCTTTCATCATATTTGACCCGCTGTGATCATGTTTAACGTTGAAGGTCATTCATTTGAACAAACTGCCGAGCTGTTTATCGGAGTATGTAAAGGGCCATGTATCATCATCCTAGACCTTTTGGTAATTCAGATTAAGTTGCTTTCAACACATTTTCAGATTTAACACATTTAACACATTTTTTTACCATGTTTGACCCCGCTGACCTTAAAAATGGGTGAAGGTTATTCATTTGAAAAAACTGGTAGCCCTTCATCCCAGCATGCTACTGGCCAAATATCATCACCCTAGGCTTCTTTGTTATTCTGAAGAAGTTGCTTAAAATAAAAGATTGACGACGGACAGAAAACGGAAGATGCACCACAACAAAGCTTACTTGGCCCTTTTGACCAGTTGTGCTAATAAGGTTTTTCAAAGACTCTGTCTATAAACTGCCTGGCATACCTGCCACAGAGTTGATGAGTTGCTGAGATTGCGTGTGACTGGTGAACACAGTGCATGCCTTCTCCAGAATGTTCTCCGCCACAGGTAACATGAGAAACATATGCTGGTGCAGTAGGGAAATAGCCGGTGCAATCTAAAAAGGAAAATAGAAATGTACATCAAGAATTGAAGAAGAACTTTAATTGGTAAAATGTCAGTAAAGTAAAAAACAAATAGTTGTCATCCCTTTATCAAAAGTTATTTCAAGTTGACTCATGTCATTTTGTGTGTGTGTATTTATCATTAGATCTGGACCACACTCCCAACACACATACACATAGCCCAGCTTAGCATAGCATTTGTGTACTATTTGTATAACTTTGCTGTTGGTATTCCAATACAAGAAGAATCAATAATATAAAATAATATAATTAACTTGACTCCTTGATGCGACTTATGTGGGGGCCCCTGCAGAGGCTGCTTTTATCTTCCTCGTTTCAAATTTCCTATTTAAACAGTTAACATGTACCACTCTGCATCTTTATTTCATATGAAAAGTTGTTAATTTTCTTTTTTTTTCTGTTTTGTATTTATTTCTACTTATTGATTCATTTTCTGGGCGAATTTTTTGTGGATGAAATTGCCTATGGTCCTTTTCGAGCGAGTTTCTGTGAAAAGCTAATTTGCATTGGAAGATGACATTTTTAGCACAAATTTCTACTTGCTGTTCTCAGGCTTTTTCATCTAAACAAGATATTAATTAGTATTTAAAACCATCGTACCAGCAATTTTCATCCTGTTTCTGTCACATTACCCAACTGTCATTTAAGGAAGTGCCTCCATGTGTGTGTGTAGTGTATGTGTGTGTGTATGCAGGAGACAGGGTATGTTGGATAGTGCTTGCCTCCTTGTGATAGCACGGATCTGATGCCGACTTGATAGTGCTATCTCACTGAAATACCATGCTGAAGGCACCCAGCACAGCATTCTGCCCGGTCACATTATACTGACAACGGGTGAACCAGTTGTTGCCATTCCCCTAAATGCTGAACGTTAAGAAGGGAATAACAACTACCATTTTTAAGGACTTTGATATGTCCCGGCCTGGGGACAGAACCCAGTGCCTTCCTCACCTGGGCAAACACTTAACACTAAGGCCAAAAGTGAGGTGTTGCCAAGCAAGACACTAGGAAATAAAAGGTATTCAGAAGAAGAAAGAAAGACAAAAATCCCAAATATTGCAATGGGCGCAGCAGATTTATTTTGGTTGCTTTTGTGTCCCAACAAGACGACACCAAACCAAAACCCTAATTCTACAGGGGGGGTTCCTACATTAGTCGCCTCCTATGATACATGCAGTGGGTCACAGCAGGTGTATTCTATTCCCGATCCCCCACCTGCAGGGGTGAGATGAAACAATAAATGTGTATGGTGGGTCTGTTTATGTATCGACTCTTTCAACTACAAATACTATCCAACCCCTGGTCTTACCAGAAATAAGGAATCCAACCCCTGGTTGTACCAGAAATAAGGAATCCAACCCCTGGTCGTACCAGAAATAAGGAATCCAATCCCTGGTCGTACCAGAAATAAGGAATCCAACCCCTGGTCGTACCAGAAATAAGGAATCCAACCCCTGGTCGTACCAGAAATAAGGAATCCAACCCCTGGTCTTACCAGAAACAAGGAATCCAACCCCTGGTCTTACCAGAAATAAGGAATCCAACCCCTGGTCGTACCAGAAACAAGGAATCCAACACCTGGTCGTACCAGAAACAAGGAATCCAACCCCTGGTCTTACCAGAAATAAGGAATCCAACCCCTGGTCTTGCCAGAAATAAGGAATCCAACCCCTGGTCGTACCAGAAACAAGGAATCCAACCCCTGGTCTTACCAGAAACAAGGAATCCAACCCCTGGTCTTACCAGAAATAAGGAATCCAACCCCTGGTCGTACCAGAAACAAGGAATCCAACACCTGGTCGTACCAGAAACAAGGAATCCAACCCCTGGTCTTACCAGAAATAAGGAATCCAACCCCTGGTCTTACCAGAAACAAGGAATCCAACCCCTGGTCGTACCAGAAACAAGGAATCCAACACCTGGTTTTACCAGAAATAAGGAATCCAACACCTGGTCGTACCAGAAATAAGGAATCCAACCCCTGGTCTTACCAGAAATAAGGACACTACTTACCACCTGCTCGTTGATCGTCTTATTGTAACAGAAGGCCAGTAGGTGTTTGTGGAGAGAAGACAACAGGCAGTGTAGGTGAGGGGGTGACACATGCTGACAGATATTTCCATCTATTGGTTTATCCATGTTCTTCTCAAACTCATTCAGAGACTGCTCCTACAAACAATGTACAAGTTTGACATTTGTTGATATTTCCAAATTTTCATAGTTATCTTAAACCTCTTTCTGCTCTGATCTGGCTCTTACTATTTCACCATTCTCGTCATTTAATTTTTCTCAACGGAAGTTTATTCTGCTTGCCCAACCATCCCAAATCTATCAAAGGGTTAATGGCCACATATAGTTGATGGAACATTATACTACATACGTGCTTATTACATTATTTGTTTTATTCCAATTTTTGTCGGGTTCATCCTTACAGATAAAAACAAGTGTCTGCAAATGATCACAGCAACACAATGCCTATTTTTACCTCAATCTTTCATACAACATATCTCTGAAAACCAAGACCTTGAATATGGGTGAAGATCATTCATCCTTTGGGCCAGGTGAGCTAAAAATGACACTTATGTTTTTTTATGAATGCTACAAACATTTTTGTAAAATTGAGTAAATGTTTCCTGGTACATAATATAGAGACAGTGTACGGACTGCTGTATATATAGCCTGCAATGTCTTACTTTTCCTTTTCAAAATCAAAACCAATTGCCTGATGCAGAACCAACCGTTTCATGAGCCAGGTTTCTGAGGATAGTTTTCATCAGGATGGCGGCCAGCTGTAGATCTGACATGCCTGACTCGCCCGGACTGGCTATCATCCCTGTGTCCGAGGACTCGGTGAAGCCCAGCAGAGAGGCTATGTGCCCATTATCTTGCAGACTTGTTAGGATGATGCTAAGCTGCATTTGCTTTTAAGAAAAAAATCATTAAAAATCTAATACTGTATGCTATTAATGTTTGCAAGTTCACTGGCCCATAGGGGCCTCAATGAGAAGATTCTGTCAAAACAAACTAGCAGCATACAATCTTTATAGACATTTTTTCTGATTCATTTGCACAAATTATTTTTATGTTCAATTCACTTCATACCAAGTTATCCAAACAACAACATAATAAGACATTTTGAATATGGATTTGTTCAAAAGAATGAAAGACAGCTGAACTGCAAACTGATTTTCTACTTTCCCTATTTCTGTTGTTAAACAAGACATGACAACCTGACATATTTTCTATTATTGTTGTATGCCATCAACAACTTACCTGTCCTTGCGATAGACTTTCCCATCTGTCTTGTCCTTGAGGTAAGAGTGAATGCAGCAGTTCCATTCTCTCCCTTAGAGGGGGTAGAAGTAAAGGAGCTCCTACGGACAGCGTCTCTGTCACAATCTACAACAGGAACATCAATGTATTAATCTGCACTAGCGTCTCTATCACAATCTACAACAGGAACATCAATGTATTGATCTGTACTAGCGTCTCTGTCACAATCTACAACAGGAACAACAATGTATTGATCTGCACTAGCGTCTCTGTCACAATCGACAACAGGAACATCAATGTATTGATCTGCACAAGCGTCTCTGTCACAATCTACAACAGGAACAACAATGTATTGATCTGCACTAGCGTCTCTGTCACAATCTACCACAGGAACATCAATGTATTGATCTGCACTAGCGTCTCTGTCACAATCTACCACAGGAACATCAATGTATTGATCTGCACTAGCGTCTCTGTCACAATCTATAACAGGAACATCAATGTATTGATCTGCACTAGCGTCTCTATCACAATCTACAACAGGAACATCAATGTATTGACCTGCACTAGCGTCTCTGTCACAATCTACAACAGGGAAATCAATGTATTGATCTGCACTAGCGTCTCTGTCACAATCTATAACAGGAACATCAATGTATTGATCTGCACTAGCGTCTCTGTCACAATCGACAACAGGAACATCAATGTATTGATCTGCACTGTGTTGATACCATTAAACCTGGTGACAATGTTGTGCTTTGGATAGTTAGCACTACTGCATATTAACAGTATTGTACCCAACATTGATCTGCACTAGCGTCTCTATCACAATCTACAACAGGAACATCAATGTATTAATCTGCACTAGCGTCTCTATCACAATCTACAACAGGAACATCAATGTATTAATCTGCACTAGCGTCTCTATCACAATCTACAACAGGAACATCAATGTATTAATCTGCACTAGCGTCTCTATCACAATCTACAACAGGAACATCAATGTATTAATCTGCACTAGCGTCTCTATCACAATCTACAACAGGAACATCAATGTATTAATCTGCACTAGCGTCTCTATCACAATCTACAACAGGAACATCAATGTATTAATCTGCACTAGCGTCTCTATCACAATCTACAACAGGAACATCAATGTATTAATCTGCACTAGCGTCTCTATCACAATCTACAACAGGAACATCAATGTATTGGTCTGCACTGTGTTGACACCATTAAACCTGGTAACGATGTTGTACTTTGGATAGTTAGCACTACTGCATATTAACAGTATTGTACCCAACATTGATCTGCACTAGCGTCTCTATCACAATCTACAACAGGAACATCAATGTATTGGTCTGCACTGTGTTGACACCATTAAACCTGGTGACAATGTTGTGCTTTGGATAGTTAGCACTACTGCATATTAACAGTATTGTACCCAACATTGATCTGCACTAGCGTCTCTATCACAATCTACAACAGGAACATCAATGTATTGACCTGCACTAGCGTCTCTGTCACAATCTACAACAGGGAAATCAATGTATTGATCTGCACTAGCGTCTCTGTCACAATCGACAACAGGAACATCAATGTATTGATCTGCACAAGCGTCTCTGTCACAATCTACAACAGGAACAACAATGTATTGATCTGCACTAGCGTCTCTGTCACAATCGACAACAGGAACATCAATGTATTGATCTGCACTAGCGTCTCTGTCACAATCTATAACAGGAACATCAATGTATTGATCTGCACTAGCGTCTCTATCACAATCTACAACAGGAACATCAATGTATTGATCTGCACTGTGTTGACACCATTAAACCTGGTGACAATGTTGTGCTTTGGATAGTTAGCACTACTGCATATTAACAGTATTGTACCCAACAAGTGCACATCTCTTCTAGAAAAACAAGAGGCCTAATGGGCATCCATCTCCTGATATTAATCTCACACTTTTAAAGTGGACCAAGGTCTAATATATTGAATTTCCCTCAAGATGCTGCATTTAGTGGTCATCAATAAACAACATGGCAGTAAGTGCATTCAATACAAACGGTCAAAACTTAATTACCAAATACCTATTAAGATTTATGCAAGTTATCATGGATATTTTATTAAAAATCACGATAAATTATGAAGTACTGAAATTGTAGCATGTTCTTTTTTTTTAAATTGGCACATAGTTACTTTGGAGAGAGACCATACACCCATAATCTGGAGACCAGGCATACACATGATGTATAGATGAATTAGATGATACGTTTAATGTATTATGTACAGCTCAAGTCCCATAGGCTCCAATAGTAATCAAACTTTTGAAGTCCCATAACTCTGCCAATTATTGTCTGATCTGGACCACTTTCGAACAAGTCCAAAACCTTGTTGATGCAGCATAGCAAAATTTACTACCATCCATTCACTTTTACTAAAGTTATTGTGCTCACAAGATAAAAGTTTATTTACTTACCCCACGTATGGTGACTGACAAGTTTGTATCTCTTTATTTACTTACCCCACGTATGGTGACTTACAAGTTTGTATCTCTTTATTTACTTACCCCACATATGGTGACTGACAAGTTTGTATCTCTTTATTTACTTACCCCACGTATGGTGACTGACAAGTTTGTATCTCTTTATTTACTTACCCCACGTATGGTGACTGACAAGTTTGTATCTCTTTATTTACTTACCCCACATATGGTGACTGACAAGTTTGTATCTCTTTATTTACTTACCCCAC